ATAGAATAGAATAGAATAGAATAGAATAGAATAGAATAGAATAGAATAGAATAGAATTCTTTATCAGCTGACTCTGATTGGACACACAAGGAATTTGTCTTCGATGCATAAGCTCTCAGTGTACATGATATAATGATATAAGTGATAAATGATATAAGTGATAAATCATGATCATAGTAATCATAAATACATTCATCATAAATCATAAGATACAACCCTTAGTGGTAGTTATAGGATACTAAATAATCAACATAAATCATACTAGGAACTAATAAACAATATAAATCGTAAAGATACAAGCAACAAAGTTATAGTCATAAGTAGCAAAGCAAATAAGTAATAGGAAGGATGAGAAGAATAATAGTAATATAGTCTTAGTAAATAGTTTGACAGTGTTGTAGGAATTAGTCATTGAGCAGAGTAATGGCATGTACTTTTTAGCACTTTTTTAAGCACTCTTCCCCCATTTTCTCTTTCACACAAATTTATAATATTTGGACCACTTATAAATTAAAAAGCTTTTGGACAAGCAGCACCTGCCTAATCCATTTTAGTATCCACTTTGTATCTGGATTGAAATCATCAGCCCACTGGAATTGCCTACTTCCCTTTAACTCTTTGTAGGCAGATTACAGATTACAAATAATCAGAGTTGGAAGGGATCTTGTTGGCCATCTAGTCCAACCCCCCATCCAAGCGGAAGACCCTACACCATTTCTGACAAATGGGAGTCCAATCTCTTCTTGAAAGTCTCAAGTAATGGGAGGCTCCCACAACTTCTGAGGGCAAGCTGTTCCATTAGTTGATTGTTCTCACTGTCAGAAAGTTTCTCCTTATTTCCAGGTTAAATCTTTCCTTGTTCAGTTTCTGTCCATTATTCCTTGTCTGGCCTACAGGTGCTTTAGAAAATAGCTTGACCCCTTTCTCCTCTCTGTGGCAGCCCCTCAGATATTGGAAGACTGCTATCATGTCTTCCCTGGTCCTTCTCTTCACTAGACTAGCCATGCCCAGTTCCTGTAACCATTCTTCATATGTTTTAGTCTCCAGTCCCCTAATCATCCTGGTTCCTCTTCTCTATACTTTTTCTATAGTTTCAACATCTTTTTTATAGTGTGGTGACCAACACTGGATGCAGTACTCTAGATGTGGTCTTACTAAGGCTTCATAGAGTGGTATTACTTGATCTCGATTGTTTCCCTCTGTTAATGCAATTTAAGATTGCATTAGCTTTTTTGGCTGCTGCTGCACATTGCTGGCTCATATTTAGCTGGTTGTCCACTAAGACTCCAAGATCCCTCTCACAGTTACTGCTATTGAACCTTGTTTCACCCAGTCTATAGGCACAAATTACCACCTCTATTCTCTAGCTTCTCATTCCCACAGTGGTCTTTGCAGATGTTTTTAAAATCCACCTCTAATGCTAGATAGATACTAATGCTAGACCATCTACCTACCTACCTTTTCTAGGAAAATTTAATCCTATAAAGTTATTCTTAGTTCCCATAAGCAAAGCAATAGAAAGTATTTTATTTGCATGTATGAAAAGCCAGCAAGAAGCTATGTTTGACTTATAGGCTCATCACTTATTTTATAATTTTAATGCTATAATCCTTTAGACATTTCAAAAAAAATAGGATTGCTGTCATTTAAACAAATCTTTAATATGACAGATTGTTAATAGAACACATTTTCTTAGTGAATGCATTTCTGGTTTACTAACATCACTAACTAAAAAATACTTGCAATTAACACATTGTAATCTCCATTCTTGTAAAAGCAGTATATAAAAGCGTCAGGAGATCATCCATTTCCTTCCTCCTCTATTATCTGACACAAATCATGCCCCCTTTGAATTGTATCAAGCAGATGTTAAGTGGTGTTAAACATCTTTTGTCACGAAAATGGAAGATTATATCCCTGGCATGACAAATAATTGGATGAACACAAACTTTTATTGTTTGGCAACAGTGGTTTCTACATTTGAAAGGAGGAAATACAGAATAAAAAATATATTAATCCTGAATGTTATTCAGTGGCCAGAAGTTTCAGCATAACAATATAAAGATAGAAAATGGCTTGTTCTGCTATAAACTCTCACTAATCTATTTCACTTGCTTCTTCTAACACATTTACAAGGGAAAATATTTTCTAACCACACAGATTATCCTAATTTCCAGTTGTTCTCAATACAGGTAGTCCTTGACTTATGATTAAAATTAAAGCCAGAACTTTTATTGCTAAACAAGACAGTTCTTATGTGATGCACTCCCGAATTATGACCTCTTTTGCTATGGTCTTTAAGTGAATCACCATGGTTGTTAATGGAAGCAGATTGGCATTAAGCAAACCTGGCATCCCTTATTGACTTTGCTTTTCGGAAACAAACAAGGAAGGTTGCAGGTGGCAATCATGGGACCCTGGGAAGTGTCAACTGTCATAAATCAATGCCAATTGCCAAGGGCCAAAATTTAACCATGGGACCAGAAGGATGCTTCAGTGATGTAAATGTGAGGAACCATTGTAAGTCACTTTTTTCAGTGCCATCATAACTTCAAACAAATGGTTGTGGATCCATACACTTACAACAACCGATAGTACCTATAGTTCCCATGTTGGCTTGAAAATTCTAGGAATGGAAGTTGACACAATAGGAAGGCACCTGAAGTTGGTAGACCTAATGCAATAGAAGGCCCTGTTTGAAGAAACACCCTACTGTGCACTCAAACTCTCTCTACCTTCCTTTTTCTCTATTTCATTCATTCTTTCAGATGGTTGATGAATTTCAAGCTGAGACAAATCTATCCTGAAATAATTTGTAATGAAAAGAAAGTTTTCTTTCTCCAGCCAAACTTCAGCAGCCTTTTAAAAAAGGAGAGAGATGGTTTTCGAAGAGTGCATTAACCCTTAATTATATTCCTAGATGAGACAGAATATGAGTACAGTGGAAGTGAAGAGGAAGAGGAAGAAAATGACTCTGGAGAACCCAGGTAATGTACATTTGTCCCTGTTCTGGGTCTGCTCTCATTTTTGGGTGCATCCAATAGGGTTGCAATAGATGGGACATAAATACATAGCAAAAAAATTCCTTCATGGCAGTAATGGAGTCCACAAGTCAAAAAAGCTGCAAAAACCTAGGGGTGAATATTTTTGCTAACTCCTTCTCTAAAGCTTTCATGGGAGGAGAGCTTGTTTCAGGGGGGAAAAACTCTCAGAGTATAGAAATATTTTGTGCGTGTGTGTGTGTGTGTGTGTGAGAGAGAGAGAGAGAGAGAGAGAGAGAGAGAGAGAGAGAGAGAGAGAGAGAGAGAGAGAATGAAACTATGTCCTTCCACATATGTGAAATTTGTACATGTTGGACTCAAGCGCTTTGTCCAATAGAATTTTGAGTCCATAAAAAGCTTTTGTCAATTGTCTCCATTGTATTTCTGCACTGGGCATCAGCTAGTCACAAAAGCTGACACAATGAAATAAAACCTCAGCTGAGCTTTAATTACGGGCAGAGACTTCGTGTTCTTACAATTGTAAATTGTATGAAAATAAATGAGGAAATGCTAGTCTCTGTGGCCTCTTCTCTGCATCTTTCTCTACTAACTCATGCCTGCTTTTGTTCTCTGTTTATTCTCCACTTTTTGCAGAAGGATTGAATGTCTGAAAATCTCTTGGGTGATATCTATTTCAGGATATAATATTAAAACAGGAACTATAGGGATTTTATTAGAAAATAGAATAGAATAGAATAGAATAGAATAGAATAGAATAGAATAGAATAGAATAGAATAGAATACTTTATTGGCCATGTGTGATTGGACACACAAGGAATTTGTCTTGGTGTAAATACTCTCAGTATACATAAAAGAAAAGATAAAAGGAAACAGTCAGTATAAATCGTAAGTATACAAGTGACAAAGTTACACTCATACAGTCACAAGTGGGAGAGGATGGGTGACAAGGAGTGATGACAAGATTAACAGTAATAGTGCAGACTTTGTAAATAGTTGAACAGTGTTGAGGGAATTATTTGTTTAGCAGAGTGATGGCTTTCGGGGAAAAACTGTTCTTGTGTCTAGTTGTTCTGTTGTGCAGTGCTCTATAGCATCGTTTTGAGGGAAGGAGTTGAAACAGTTTATGTCCGGGATGTGAGAGGTCTGTAAACATTTTTGCAGCCCTCTTTTTGACACGTGCAGTGTACAGGTCCTCGACTGAAGGAGGTTGGTAGTAATTGTTTTTTCTGCAGTCCTAATTACTCTCTGAAGTCTGTGTCTGTCCTGTTGGGTTGCAGAACCAAACCAGACAGTTATAGAGCTGCCGATGACAGACTCAATAATTCCTCTGTAGAATTGGATCAGCAGTTCCTCGGGCAGTTTGAGCTTTCTGAGTTGGTGCAGAAAGAACATTCTTTGTTGTGCTTTTTTGATGACGCTTTTGATGTTAGGTGTCCATTATAGTTCATGTGATATAATAGAATGTCTCATAAAGAGGAGAAAGCTTTTTCTATTCTACTTTCATTGAGAACCATAGTGGCATAGTGGAGAGCCATGGTAGCGTAGTGGTTGGGATGTAGTATTTCAGGCTAATTCTGCCAACTCCCAGTAGTTCAGTGCTGACAATCTCAAAGGTGACTCAGCCTTTCATCCTTGTGAGGTCGGTAAAATGAGGACCCAGATTGATGGGGGCAATATGGGGGCAACTCTGTAAGCCACTTAGAGAGGGCTGTAAAGTACTGTGAAGTTACACCTAAGTGCTATTGCTAAATGCTATTGGTATTAAGATCAGTTTGCCATGTAAATTGTTTAGATAGGTCTTTTTCCAATCTTTTCCAACATTCTCCATGCTTATGAATTTAAGTTCTCTGCCAGCTACCTCATATCAGTTCTTTTATGTGCAGATGATACAGCCATTCCATCAAAGGTTGGGCTAGGTAATTGTCTTGGAGTGTCATCACCCTAGTGCAGTAAAGAATGCTTCAAAATAGATCATTCAAAAAGAGCAGACTGAGTATTTTCAAGAAAATACTTTAGCTTTACAGCTAGATAAATGATAAATGGAAGAACTATCGAGCAAATGAAATATTTCAGATGCTTAGACCCATATATTTTTCTGGGTAAGCTGATAAGCTGACCTTGAATTTGGAACTGGTATCATAGTTAAAGCATACTATGAAAAATGTGCCCCCTGAGGATAAGCCAACCCTCAAAATTTTCATATATTTTAATTTTCACCATTGGCTTTAAAAATTGAGGGTCTGCTCATTCACAGATGAAATTAACACACAAGTATATACAGGATATACCAATGCTTCACAGGTACTTTTAAAAAGCTGAAGAACAAACCTATTTGTATATATTTGTGGATAAGTCCATTCATGGATAAATCAAATCCCATTTTTGAGTGTACAGTATTTTGGCGCCTGAAATTCTTGGCTTCGCTGTGAGTGAATGTGGTATTTAAGTTTAATCTTCTACTTGCTGAGGAAACCAAGTGAGGAAGCTTTCTGTAAGGTGCCAAGGAATAATTTAGCAATTACTAAATTTGCAAGCTGGCATGCAAAATAGTTGAGGGAACTAGGTATGTCCTGTCCAAGAGAAGGATAGGGAGACATGGTAAATATCTTCCAGTACTTGAGGGGCTGTCACAGAGAAGCAGGGTTGACTTATTCTTCAAAGTACCCGAAAGCAGGACAAGCAATAATGGGATTGAAGAGAGATCCAGCCAAGAAGTAATAAGAAATTTTCTGACAATGAGAACAATTAATTACTGGAATAGCTTGCTCCCTGGGGCTGTGGGTGTTCCATCACTGGAGATTTATAAAAATAGACTGGACAACCATTTGACCAGAGGTGTCCTGCATTTAGGGAGTTGGACTAGAATACCTCTGAGGTCTCTTCCAGTCCTATGATTCAACAGTCTATTCAAGGCTAAAGTTTGGATATGTTGCTGTATAGAATATAAAAATGTATAGGATATGAAGATGTATAGTAGGGGACTATATTCAAGAAGATATCCAAGTTCGAGAAGCCGCAGGTAAATCTTAAGAGTTGAGTTAACTAGCAGAAAAGTAGGAGGGATGTAAGAACTTTTGCATACTGAATGCAAAGGTATTGCTGGACTAATGTAAGTTTGTCTCCCCAATAAAGCTCCATCCTAAACCTGCCTGGAGAATCGACCTTAAGGCGGGATTTTTTGCGACTTCAGCTTGCAAACAAGGAACGCTCAGAGGCCCTCCGTCGGCAGCAGCTGGAGCAGCAGCAGCGTGAGAATGAAGAGCACAAGAGGCAGCTCTTGGCAGAACGTCAGAAGAGGATCGAGGAGCAGAAAGAGCAGAGGCGGAGGCTGGAAGAGGTAATTTTATGCTTTTTAAAGCTTTGGTGGCCCAGTGGTTAGAATGCAGTATTGCAGGCCAACTCTGCCCACAGCTTGGAGTTTAATCCTGAGTCGACTCAGCTTTCCATCCTTCCGAGGTTAGTAAAATGAGGAGCTAGATAGTTGGGGGCAATATGCTGGCATTGTAAACCACCCATAGAATCTTGTTAAAGTACTATGGGGTGGTAAATAAGGCTATTTTATGCTTCGGACTGGTGAATATGTGTAAGTTTTCAGAAGGCCTACCCTAGTCATTTAGCTTTAACAATCTTTATTCAATGAAAACTACTGTGTCTAATTCAAAACACATTGTGTCATCGTGTGGATACAGATAGTCCTCAACTTATAACCCTAATAGAGCCTGCCCATCTAAGTTGTGATAGCTGTCATTAAGTAAATGCAGCAATCATTAAGCAAACCAATTGTTTGCTGTGGGCTGGTTTTACTGAAAACTGGAAGTGAACACCGGTTTTTGCCAAAACACCATAAAACATGGTCATGTGACCAAGGGATGCTGCAAACTGCTATAAATGCAAGTTGGTTGCTGAACACCCAACATACAGCCATGTGATCGGTAGGGTGCAACCTTCAGAGTTTTGGAACTAGTTAAGCTATGTAAGTTGTAACTTGAGGACTACCTGTATGTAGAGTTTTGTTTTGGGTTAATGCAAAATTAATCCCAGTCCCTGTGGTTTGCAAATCAAGGTTTATGTCTTAAAGTTATCCATGATCCAGGATATTGTGGCTTGTTAAACAGTGTTTTAAACCAGGGGTCTCCAACCTTAGCAACGTTAAGCCTGGTGGACTTCAACTCCCAGAATTCCCCAGCCAACTTTGCTAGCTGTGGAATTCTGGGAGTTGAAGTCCTCCAGGCTTAAAGTTGCCAAGGTTGGAGACCCCTGGTTTAAACCATTTATGTTTAATTAGGTATGATTACACTAATTTAATTACACTACATCTGTAGTGTATGCTTGCGTCATTGGGTAATCTGTCTCCTGAAATGTTGCTTTTATTTAATTGGGGATAATTTGACAAGACTAGATTAGCAAGGGAAGACCAGAGAGGAGCAGAATTTGAGCTGGTCTAAGTTCTCAGCAAACAGCAACAGGTATGATACATGTGTCAAAGAGAATCCTTAATATTCAATGTGATATAATCAACTAATGTCAGGGAAATAAAGCAAACCAAGGCTACTTGCCATTGCTCTGATCTAAATAAAAATTGTTTTCCAGCCTTAGATTAAAAAAAAAACAATTCACAGGCATTGCAGCCATTTTAGATACCCCACAGTACACTGCTTGCAAACTTTATCACAAACTTAAAATGGTTGTTTATCAGCTGCCTCCCTATCAGTTTAGTGGAATGATTATTCAATAATAATTAGATCTAATGATCTAAGTGCTAGAGCCCACTGTAACTACATAGCCAAAAAGGCATTAAGAGTTGTTAACTTAATCCTACGTAGCTTTTTCTCTGGTAATATCACACTACTAACTAGAACATACAAAACATTTGCTAGACCAATACTCGAATACAACTCATCAGTCTGGAACACACATTATGTATCTGATATTAGCACAGCTGACAAAGTCCAGAAATATTTCACAAGAAGAGTTCTCCACTCCTTTACTCGTTGTAGAATACCTTATGCCACCAGACTTGAAATTCTAGACCTAGAAAACCTTGAATTACACCATCTTCGGTCTGATCTAAGTATGGTGTATAAAATCATACATTGCAATGTCCTACCTGTCAATGAATACTTCAGCTTCAACCATAATAACACAAGAGCACACAATAGATACAAACTCAAGGTTAACCGGACCAAACTTGATTGCAGGAAATACAACTTCAGCAACAGAGTGGTCAATGTCTGGAATACTCTACCTGACTCTGTGGTTTCTTCCCCAAACCCCAAAAACTTTAACCTTAGACTGTCTACTATTGACCTCACTACTTTCCTAAGAGGTCTGTAGGGGTCGTGCATAAGCGCACCAATGTGCCTACCGTCCCTGTCCTATTGTTTCTTCTATTTTTCTTATGTGTACCCATTTCATGTATTCATAACTATGTATATACTTATACCTATTATCTTGTAAGCGATTGACAAATCAAATAAATAAATAAATAAAAATAAAATAAACATTTGGTATAATCAGGACTTAACAGTGCTTAAAAACCGAGCTGACTTTCTTTCTTTACATATAATACTATAGACAGCCCAAAGTTCCTAAAATAAGACTCCCTACCACATCTTCCATTTATATTTCACACCCTGTATGTTGTTAGCACTCTGTATGTTTCAATAATTATTTCAGTCTTTAAATAACATAAATGTGACATTTGCATTACTGTATCTTGACTACAATCGAAACGATGATGATAAAATATAATGATGATGATACTAGTAGTAGGTGATGGTGGTAGTGGTGATGATGATGATGATAAACCATAATGTTGAGCTTCTCTGTGTAAATCACCATATTGATGATGGTGATGATGACTATGATTATTTAACTAAGGCCTCTTCTTTGTTCAATCCATGTATTATTCCTGTCCAGTTTTCAATTTCCCATCATATGCATATGCCCAACTACTTAGCTTTTGAAAGAGAAACATGTTCCTCTCTTGCTTGTAGCTCAGGCCTCTAAATCAGACAAACTCTTTGTTATTTAAGTATAAAACATGCTGAGAAACATAGCCCCTTTGTGGGATACTTCGGTAATACGATTAAGGGCACACAGATGGAAATCACACATCCCAGTCACAATTAGATAATTAGTGGCCTGTACCTTGAGGTCACTGGACAAGGTCTTTGAATAAATTGACTTTGTTATTGTATGGAACCAGTCATCCTGCCCCACAGGATTTGCCATTTTTATTCTTAGGATTTCTTGGCAGGGACAATGCAGCCTGCAGGAGAAAACAAAGATACATCTGACGAGTTTGGCTTAATCATGCTGCAGATGAGTCTGCATTGCCATGAGGCTGACCACAACTATGGGTGTCACCGCAACCAAGGGTGTGATATGGCAACTGTCATGCACTTTGAGGGACTCCTGTCTTATCCCAAAGATGCTTTTTTCAAAAGGCAACTGGACTTGGTTTTGTTTTTATCCAGGAAGCTTCTTCACTTCTGACTAAATGGTGGTGGAGGATGGAAGGACTTACATTCCTTGTGGTCATCTGGTCATTAGCACAGTTGCTAAGGCCATTTGGAGGTTTGTCTCTGCCCTGGGTGGGTGGTCACGTGAATAGTGCTACAAATGGGGCGTTGGTTCTTACCTGATACGCTTCTTTTCGTAGAGCTGTTGAGAGTGTCCAGGTTGGGAGGAGCTCCAGTCTCGGCTCTCACAGGCTGAGCTTGAGATTGAGGCACGCCTCTCACCATCACATGGTCCTCCGGGCGCGCCCCAGTTTTGCGAAGACGAGAAGGAAGGTCCTGTTCTCATCTTACTCAGGAAAAAAATATTAGTTTGCTCGGTCGAACAGCAGGGTTTCCCACCAGACGGCCTACGGGTGGGGCTGGACACTCTCAACAGCTCTACGAAAAGAAGCGTATCAGGTAAGAACCAACGCCCCTTTTCCATAGAGCTGTCTCGAGTGTCCAGGTTGGGACATACCAAAGCTTGGCTAGTCCTGCGGGTGGGCTCCCGTCTGGAATGGGACCTCTCCTGGAACCCTGATGACCCGCTGGAGGGCACGCCCAACAGGAGAACCCCTCGGAGGTTGGAATGCCTCAACGAGAGGGCCTGATGAAGGAGACGGGGCTGTCTAAAGGTAGCCCTGCCGGGGATGCCACGGATGTTTACTGAGACCGTGGGGCAAGGAGACTAGGTAGAGCGGCCAAAACCTTGTTAGGGACCCGGTACGAGGAGCCCGGACAGAGGCGAGGATGGAAGTTCCCCTGAGAAGACCTAGCCAGAGTGAGGGGAGGCGCCCTCAATAACCGGAGGGTCACCGTTGCGAGGGTGGCAATGGGACGCCCTAGGGTGTTATGGGATAGACCCTGTTGGGAACCCCCCTGAGAGAACTCCAGGTCAGAATGATGGAGGGGAGACGTAAGGAGTTCCCAAACTGTGACCTGTGCTAGTGGGGACCAAGTTTGGTTCCGCCCAGAGCAAGGCGGTCGGCCCTGCTCAAGAGCCAACTGACCGAGGACCGCCCCAGAGGGAACTAAGGGTAGTAGTGAGGACCAGGGCAAGGGGTCCGTGTATCTGGATTATGAGGCTGTGGGCCGGGGGCCCAGAGAAGGAACCCCAGCTAACATGGGGTGGGGATAAATGTGTTGCCGGCCAGATGCCCTGGGGCAAGGTGAGGAGGACAAGGGTGCTCCAGACTATGAGCCTGCGTCCGGGAGCCGTATGGTCTACCGGGAGTCTTGGTATGGAGAGGTAAGG